CCCTTTCTCACGTGTTCGAACAAACCGCCATGGACATTGTCGGACCACTTCCTATTACTACTAATGGAAACAAATATATCCTAGTCTTCGTCGATCACTTTAGTCGGTATGCGGAAGCCGTCCCGCTACCTGACGTCAGCAGCAAGACAATTGCGAAAGCATNCAAAAAAAAATTGTTGTGAGGCAGTGCTCTTGAATTTAAACATTTACTAGCTAGCCTGAACAAATAAATTAATGCATATATTGTTATTTGTGAATGTTGGATGTGAATTAAAAATTATACAAGGACAAATTAAATACAGATATCCCTTGCTTAACGTGGGATTCAATTAATGCATGAAATTAATTCCAGTGATCCCTTTGTATATTAGCAGAAGTTTTAATTAATATGGCTTTACCAGCTGTCTTCACTTAACATAGATACCATATTTGATTAATTATCAATTTATTACAGATATACTTTGACTTCTAGAAAGGACCTCCATTCTGACAACCTGGTTGTAGATCTGACAATATTGTGAGAACTGAGGGGGTAGAGCTGTGAGCTTGACCCTTCTTACTGGCTTCTCATCAGAGGATGGCTAGGAGGGCTTTTAAATCTAGTGGGAAGTACACATGTGTAAGCTGATAGGTATAGATCGTTTCCGATAAACAGACAGATTTTAAAATAAACACAATCACAATTCAATATTTCTCTAGACTAAGATACATAAAGTTACAAGTACAGTAGAGCGTTGTTTATCCGAAAGAATTCCAGTTGGCAAATTTAAATTTTTGCTAGTGCTGTGGCACTGCAATCTTTGGCTATATCTTGGGCTACTCCAATATTTTTTTTGTTGATGTGTGTTTTAGCTAGCAGCACTGGCACTTTTGTGTGGTGTTTTTCTGAGGACTGTGTGTTGTGCTGAATCGAACGTTTTTGATACTAGATTAACTTCTAAAGTATAAATTTTTTTTGTTTTTATATTTTTCAACATATTTATTTTGTTTGTAAAAAATAAAGAAATAATTTTTAATGATACAATAGCCGTGATTATTATTTTAAAAAGTTTACATTAGGCTTAACATCGACGAAAATTCAACGGGAAGCGACATGCAACGGAGAAAAATTTCAACATGGGATATTTTTTCGTACATAATCGGTTATCCGAAAAATAAGTTATCCGAACAACTCCAGTCCCCAATTGATTTGGATAAATAATGCTCTACTGTATATCTAAATATGGCATTCTTTTATATGCGTTATAAGTACAAACCTATATTCGCGACAAACTTGTAGTAAGCAGCTCAATACATGTTATATTCTTCTTAACCTGAAAACTGAGAGAGAGAGAGTTTACAATTAGGCTAAAATACCTCTGATAAATCATGTTCTGTTTATACGATGTCGTTGGGACTATCGAGGATCATGGAGGTTGTCAGGGAAGGTGCAGCGATCAAGTCTCTAGTAGTCCATAGAGCAGAGATTCAAATAGAGTTACCAGCCTTATGATGATTGTGTCAGAGACTTCCTATTGATGATCGCCCCGAGGTGCAGGTGCGACCCCTTTTTATACACATCCTGGAGGGGGAACTATCGAAGGATGTTCTGATGCAATCCCATCTAAATTCGATTTGCATCCAGAGGTTGTTTATGTTAATTGTCAGAAATCGAATGTTTTGACAAATTTATTACCTCTTTCTATCTGGTATAGTTATTCCTTTTACCTCATAAAACTGATAATATCTGTCAAACATACTGAATTAATTGCTGGTAGTGACTAAGGTCAGGGTTTGTACTGCAGCCTTAGTAATAATTGTTAAATTGGAGAGATATTCGGTTGGTCTTATCTATTAAGAAATCGGGAAAAATAGGATGTTTGTGGGTTTTTCCACTTGGATATTTTTTTCTTTACCTGACCTTTGACTCGATTCTCTTGTCATTGTATTAACCTATAACTTAATTATTGAATTATTTAAATACTTTCTCTTCAAATCTCACAGTATATATAAATAAAAAAACAAAACAAGATATAAAAGAGAGTTTGTGTGATTGCTAAAAATTATCATAGTTTGAAATGTTTTATGTGGAAACTTGCCAAACAGAAAAAATATTTAGTATTGTATGAGTCCAATTTAAACATGTTTCCATTGCAGTTTCCATATTTTATTATAGTTTATAAACTGCAATTGTTAAGCATATGCAAAACTGCACCACAAGTGCAAATTCTGATTTCACTAGTTTTCTTTTGCTTGTTTTTCCTCTTCTCGCATCTGCATAAATGCAGTCTTACAGTATGCAAATTTACATCATCCTGAATCGCCATATATATAATCCATTGGACTAATAAGTTTTAATGAATTGTTTTCAATCATTCGCTTTGGAGACCTCTTCTGTAGAGTATATCTCTGCTTCCATAACCCAATTGATTCGTGGGAAGACATTACTGAATGAATCATTTTACTTATTGTAAACTCAGTGTCATAAATTGATATTATCTTCCTATAAATATAGTTCTAATTATATAATACAAAAATTATCAACAAATACAGCATTCCATACAAACTATAATACAAAATACTAATCATAAAAACTATGTGTTTGTCTGTAATTACAAGAATTGTAAATTTAAATGCTAATGTTTTTGGTGTTCTCACTGCCATTTTCAAGCTTTTTAACAAGAATTAGAACAAAAGAGGTACAAAAATGTCACCCTCAAATTGAAGTGGTAGAAAGATAGCAAAATTTTCATAGATAGTTTCAAAACTTTCAAAGTTCCAACATCATTCAGTATTATCAAATTCTTTAGGAACTACTGAATCAGTTTGGCTCAGGTGTCAGAATATTGCATTGTATTTTTCAAAGGTTTATAGCTTAAATTCATTATGTGAAAGCTTTATTTTGGCATATTTAATGATTCCTAAAATTTATGACAATTTACACGATAGTCAAAATTTTTCTTAGCAGTTTTCTTTTGGTAAAGATAAGCTTGGTGCTTGAAGGGAAAATGTAAGGTACATGTAAAACTCTTGTGGTTATCACCTCCAAGTGCCAAGCTTATCTTTACCAAAGAAAAACTGCTAAGAAAAATTTTGACTGTCATCTAAATTGTCATAAATTTTTACTTGGCATAAGTTTTTACATCTCAGATGATTTTGTTTGGATATCAGTTTGTGAGGGATGCAACAACAAGTGGGCCTACCAACAGCGAAAGGGGAAACTTGGAGAGACACGTGGTGGATACGACCCGATCAGGGTGTGTACCCGGGGTGAGAGATTTATCAAAGGGTGTGGGAGTTAGGGACGGAATGAAGGAGGAGAGGGGAAAAACGAGAAAGGAAATGCAGTTGAACTGTTCTTCGCCCGTGCTTGACATCGTTGACCGTTAACTGTGTAACCAGCCATACGAATAATAAAGTGTCTCATCCATATTCTCATCCGTAGTCTCATCCTTTCGGGTTATTGCGCATAGACACGACACAGTTGTTTTTATAATTGTATTATTTCATCAAGATAAGATCAGTCAGTGGCTGCTGTATGAATGCATTGCTGGCCAAATGTGCTGCCAACTGAACACTTTCAATATTCATTTTGGTCAGCATCGACCAAATGCATTGCCGACCAATGTGCCATCAACTGACACTTTCAATATGTTATTTACAAAAATCATTATAAAAAGTTTTAATTTGAATAAATTTGAGCTTTTGTAATTCTGAGTGACATTTTGAATAAAATTCATTTGTTTCCATGCAATTTTGTCTCTGAACAAAATTAAGCTGTAAAACTGAATTATCTCTATGGGAAACCCTTGTGAACTTGACCTATTGACCCAGAAGGTTTGTGAGCACCTCACTGATAATGTGAAAGTCTTATGTTTAGAATTTGAGTTTTCTAGACCCAGAAGATTTTGCTATGATTTTCCTTTGAACAAGTTATTCGGAATTACTTCAGGTGTTTGGGGGAGGAGAAGTCAATCCCTGAAAATCTGAAACTCTGATTCCTGTATATATAGTCAGTCAGTGACTTTTTTACTTGGTGGGAAGTTGCTGCTGTGACTCCAGATCAAAATGCAGTTCCAGGTTTGACTGTCTGTAAAATGTATAGTTTGTTGTAAATGAATGCTTTGCATAGAAATTATTAGTTTAGAATCTGTAATTTTATTTCTTTATGTTTTGTTTAATTTGTATCTTTTCAATACACTTTATAATAAGAGATTATATGGATTTGATTTCCATTCAGAATTTATTATTTTGATTGAAATTATTTTATATTAATAATAATAATAATAATAATTTTGTAATTTTCAGAATTTGAGTAGTAAAATATTTTGATTCATGCCAGGTCACACAATAAATTTAGTATTGTAGTTTCTGAAATCTGTTTGATTAACGTTTAGTGAAGAGTTTAGTCACTTTCTATTAAATTACTTTAATTTTAATGAATACAGGCACATATTGCTTAATGATGGATATGTTCTGAGAAAGATGTCATTAAGCAAGTATCTTAGAAAGTACTGTACATATTTAGATAAACCTGTATGGTACAGTTTACTACTCATATAAGCTATATTTAACACAATGCTAAATAATTAACTTACCTAAAATAGAAAAGATAAAAGTGGCTATGAATATTTCAACTCCATTATAATCGTATGGGGTCTCCATCATATATGCAGTCCCTCATTAAGCTATGTATATACTGTTATACAAACCACTATGAAAGAACAAAACAAAGATTAATCAAAGCAAAATATTACTCACATTATAGTATATGAGATAAATTGTCATAACATGATTGGTTGAAATGCTCTGAACACTATGTGTGTAAAATGATTGGTCAAACGAATTGACGTTTTTCAAAAGTTGAGACATTTTCAACTTCTAACAAACTTCCCTTTTAGCAACTTTTAACAGTAGCTGAAAGGAGAGTTTGTATGTTAATGTGGACCTAGCTTTAAGTGGTGCATACCTACATAAAAGTATTAAATACACTACTATATTAATATATCTTTTATTTAAAGGCATCAGTCAAGAGGTATAGCACCAGCTTAAAACCATCAAAGAAATTAGAAAAAGGAAACGTCAAGTCTAGTGCAATAAAAGCTTTTCTTGCTCGTAAAGAAGTAGAAGAAAAAGTAAAAGGTAATCTCTTTACATAATTAAAATTGATATACAATTACAAATTATAAAAATTATGATTAATTATTGAACAGAAAAAGAAGCTTATTATAAGAAAGAAGAGTTACTTTCTATTCGATCACAAAATTCTAAAAACAGTAAAAAAGCAAAATTAATGGCATCAAGGACTAAAGATAATGATTTTAGTAAAATTAGATTAACAACTGAAGAAGAGGATGCTAAAAAGAAAATAGATCATGAAATTCAAAAGAGAATGATTTCTGATAAGATAGAAAGGATGAAAGCTAGAATTGAATTAGAAGAAAAAGAAAAATTATTACCTCGTAAACGGAAAAGAAAGTCTAAAGCAAATGAAAATAACAATGATTCAGTTCAGGTAAACGAGCAAATTGAAGATTTTTCGGACTATGAAAGGTTGAAAGTAGAAGAGAAGAAAATGCAACGTTCATCGGGTCAACCGATGAATTTTCATGATTTATTAAAACTTGCCTCCCAAAAACAGCACGAGCCTATAGAACTGCCTAAAGTTGTTAAAAAAGAAGAAAGACCAATGACAGAAAAAGAAAAAAGAAGGTATGAAGAGGAACAATTGAGGAAAAGAGGTATTAGTGTTTATACGTTACCTGATATCAATCGACAAAAATCAAAACAGAAAAAACTGACTTCTTCTAATGGTGATACAAGTAAAACTAGTGTTTTTAGTGAATCAGTTAAAAACAAAGAAGTGAAAATTTCTCAACCAAAGAGCAATATTCTTAATAATAAGACAGTTCATACAGTTAAGAAAACAGGTGGTTCATATCAAGATGTACAATTGGAAAATAGGAAAGTTCCAAGTAAGTATATTTGTAACTTTAAACTTTTGTTTTCTTATATTTTTAGGTATAGATTGGAAATTTTTTTACATATAATATTAAATTTCGTATAAATGAAAATTATTACCAAAACTTTCATTTAGTTTGGTATTTGATTTATGAGAGATATTCAGTTATAAATCTTATATCATTCATTAAATTGGAAAATGTATCATAATGTACTAATTATACTGTTAACTACTATTATTGGCATATGATTTTGTTCTTATATGACTATTTTCTACTCGTGAGTAAACTGTCAGAAAATATTTGCAGAACTTTTTAAAATAATTTTTTTCTGACAAGGATCCATGAACTGTTGTACAGTACACATAATTAAAGATAATGTGATTTATCAAAAAAAAAAAAAATTGTACACAACAGCAAAGAATGGGGTCAAAAGTGGCTCAAAACTTTACTTCCCTGAGCATAAATAATTATATAAATCAAATCAAGTAGTGACTAGGCTATAAGAACACCTCTGTATCCCACTAATAACACAATAGAGTTCACATAGACAATGCTTCAATTCCCTGTACGCATTTATGTGTCCAAAACTTAATGATAAGTTGTACATTTGTACATGAATAGAGAGAACTGTAGATGAATGCAGACAAATATGGCAAGAACTGTATTATTTAATGTCTAACATACTGTAATACACAATAATATAGGATTTTACAAAGCAATATAATCTTTGGTGAAAAAGATATATTCAGCAATTGGATATAGGTGGCAAATGAATGGAAAGTACTTACCAATACTCAGGCAGAGACACCTGTCATTATGGAACATATCTCTCTCTCAAACTGCAATACAGCATTCAATTGTGATGAATCTGCCATGATACCCATGTCAGGCAGACTCATGAGATGATTTTTCCTAGCTATCACCACTGTCATATGTTTTTCCATAAGTTTTGGACATGTGTATGGCACAGTGATGATACTACAATGTGCAACTATATGTCTAGTTATCCGATTTAGATCCATCAGTGTATATAGGAATTAAATTCCTGTCACGATATTGAATTTCTGCGAAGTGCTGTCTATAGACGTAATCTGGTGTGGGTTCTTTGGGGAACTACTTTAAGCTTAATTCAACATTTATCGCTGGGGTTGACCAAGGTGAAATACTATTAACCTCAACCTGTGAGATGTTGCTTGTGTCCAGGTCAGTTGTGCTGCTTACATTCTCCATTATTATGTCAAAGGTAGGGACACTACTCGTCTGAGCTGCAAATAATGTTTTCAGCTGGATATCTGAACAATCAGCTTAGAGTTTATTCTGAGATTTCTGTGTAATGTAATAAGAAAGAGACAACTGTTCTCTCCTAAGAGATAGTGGAGGCTCATAAAAATCAACGTACAAACTTTGAACAGAAGTTGTTCAAAGTTTGTATGTTGATTTTTATGTGTTGGTGTGTTACTAGTTTGAAAAAACACCAGTGCACAAATGCAGTGCTTGATGGTGGATTGGATTCAGCATCCAAAGAGTAGATTCTCACACAGAGCCATAAACAATGTATCTGTAGTCCAGTTTAGAGCAGACAAGAACCCTATAAATCCTGAGCATAGAACATTTGTCTGCTCCTCAGAATGAGCAGCACAGTACCTTTAAAAGATTCGAAGATTTTAAACATCTACTCTTCAAGTTGTGCAAGTACAGTAAAAACGCCAGTTTATGGTCAAATAAAACACCCAAAAACTTTACCTCATTGACCACTGGGATTTTAACCTATTCAAAGTTAAAATTTTTATTTGTTGCCTGTGACCCCATGTTGAATTTTCGTCTATGTTAAGCCTAAAAAAAATTTTTTTTTAAAATAATAATCGTGTTTACTGTATCATTAAAAATTATTTTTTTATCTTGCACAAACAAAATAAATTTATTGAATAATATAGAAACAAAAAAATTATATTTTANAAAAAAAAAATAGAAAAATTTACATGGTGTTGGAGAGTGGTTTTAGCAATAATAGGTTAGCAGTCAACCTATTATTGCTAAAGGATGTACCGTACATAGTTAATTTTAGGGCATCCATTCGTATAAATAACATACTTGTCAATCTTGCATTGTAGATGAGGCTGACTTGATAGCTAAGAAAGGATGTTCTAAATCTTTGTAAAGCTGGGCTGTGTTCAGTAATGCAGAACATCTAAGTTAGAATTCTGAGTGGCTTAGTGGACGGATCTAAGAATGTTCTGAGAATCATTGAACGACTATTTTTAGTTAAACAACTGGGCAAAATGGTGGTAGAAGTTAAATTATTATAACAATTAAAATGGCTGTGTTCAGCAGACTCAACAGTTGTAACTGAGCAAATTGGTAGCTGTTACATAGCAACCTGGATCTGCTGAACAATGAGTGACATTGCATTGGAACAAAAAGTCTCATTGGTCAGTTTCAGCTAGCAATAGGTAGTGTAAATAAAGACACTACTAAATGTGACATGAAAACACCAAACATGTTCCAAAAGTGTGCTACTGTAGAGGATGTTCAGCAGAAAAATACTCAGCAGCTCTGGAACTGTTGAGTCTACTGAACGTAGCCAATGTTATTCTCTCATTCAAATCATTAACTCATTCTAAAATGACTTCAAAATGTAAAATTATCAATAAAAATAATAGCTTGTACTGGAACTAGAAAGAATTAATCAAAATTATCACCTTTTTACAAATTCCAGCAAATAATTTAATATCATAAAAACGTAAAATTATCATATGTCAGTATAACAGATTCCGAATATATTTTAACAGAAGATAACGGTCCATTTTGTTGATTACAATTAATAATTGCTTCATTAATTTTATCACGATCTGACGCAACTTCTATTTCAATAATTGTATTAGTTACTTCATCCTTTCCAACCAGTTTGTTTGTGACAATTGTTGCGATCATAATAAAATATGTTTAGTTCAACACGAGCAGCCATCTTGCAAATTGTATGACGAGACAAAAACAATGACATCACTAGTAGAAGTTAGCATAGATAAAAGAAGCTGACTAAACTAGCTAGAATTCTAGTGGTGCGAGGAATCAAGCAGTAATTAGAAACGAGCTCAATATTGCAGCATAATTAGAATTAGCAAGAATTCTGCATTACTGAACACAGCCCTGGTTATATACTAGTAAATAACACCAACAAAAACCTTCAAAATTCACACACTGCACAAACATCATTAGCACATTGCAAGTATTAAAACATATTGAAAAAATAGTGACTGTGCATGGTTACCCAAGAACAGTGGTGCAAGGTTTAGCAGGGAACTATATTAAAAGAATGAATGATCACACTACTTTTAATCTTAACAAGGGTAATAGTAAAAGTTTGGAGCATACAGGCAAATATATACTAGTTGATTATGACTGGGGATTAAAGGTTTTATACAAAGAATTTGCTTCTAATAGTGAGTGAGTGATAACATACAGATGTAACCCATCAGTTAATAAGTTATTAAGAAATGGCATCTTTGCCATTAACACCTACAATGCACCAAGGGTATATAGTATACCTGTGAGAGACAACAGAATTCATAGAGATCTAGTATACATTAGTTCAACCAAGAGGTCCCTTAAAAAATGGCTGGTGGAACATAAATATTATATACAAAACAAAAAGCAGACCACCGCCCTAGCAATATATGCTCCTGACACTGACATGGAAGCTAAACTACAGCAAGCTATTCTCATTAGATGCATCCTTCACACCAAAACTTTTAGCTCTTGAAATTTTAAAGCCAAACTAAAGGGAGAATGTATCAGTTTTAAGGAAGAAGCAAACATCTCTCATGCTTGGTAGTCTTTTTTTGATGATCCCAACAACATTAAAAATTGCAGCTCAGCATTGTGACAATGTCACAATAAATGATTGTTTGTTTTTTTGTTAATTTTTTCTAGAACGTCACACAACTGAGATGTTTATTTAGTTACGCAACACAATATTTATTTTTGGGACATCCTAGATTGCATCATTTAAAAAAATGAATAAATGTAAGTCTAAATAGGGCATAAACTCTAGTGTAAAACTCATATTATTTTCTACTTTGATAAGGATGTGTAGGTCTATGGGATAAATAAAATAAAGTCTAATGCATATATATTAATTTAATCATATTTATTCATAGAACTGTGGCTTAAATGAAACTGAATTGTAGCATCTATCTGCTGTTCAGCAAACACTTTTTTGTCATACAATTCTAGCAGTTCTTTTCTTCTCCCACAGTTTTCAAATTTTTTTGTTATATTCAATGGAACTCAAAGTAAGCTTATTATCTTCCCTCTTTTCACTCACTAATTTGTAAAGCTCTGAATAAAACTTTTCTTCAGTTTTATTACTACTGTAATCTAAACATTAATTAAAGAACAGAGCATGAATGAAAATACAAATACAAAATATAAAATATGATGGCTGCCTTAACAGTTTACATCATTAACCAGCACCATGATGATTTTTTTTTAACACATAACTAATTAATACATTTAACACATAAAATAATGTCAATCATCATTCTAGTGGACAATAGTCCACTAAAATGATGATTGACATCTCTGCTCAGGCTATTTGTGTTATTGCCAACATAATGTGCGATGTTGTGAATGTCTAGTTGTTAATTAACATGATTTTTGTATTTCAGTGACTGCAACATACACAGTGTATACTCATAAAGTAGCTGAAGTTTACCTCTATCAAGAATTTATTGCTATTGAAATCCTTAATAACTTTATCAGATTAGCAGAACAAGTCTCAAAACTTTTAATCAAGTGCTAACAAAAGCATTCTGTTCATTAGCTTAAACAAGTCTTAAAAATGTTAGAAGTATGGCAACTGTTGCAAATGGATTCTGAAAATGTGGGTTATTTTTTTTTTTAATTCTGATGCAGTTAATTTCTGCAATGCACACAAAATACTCTTGAAAGCAAGACCAATAATTCTGATGCAAGCAGATCTTTTGATTAGCCGCTTAATCACATTTCACTGCCAAGTAGTATGATATAGCAAAATTGGTAACTAAAAAATCTCCAACTAGCCTTTGAGGCCAAAGACATTAATATTAATTCTGTACTACATGAAATGGACTCTGTTTCAAAGACTCACATTTCAGTACCTAGTGCATCTTCTAGTCAACTTGAGGCCCAAGTACAGCCACTACTGAATCTACCATCTTGACTTAATTTGTAGACAATGCAAACCTGAACACAGATTTGCTCTGTCTAGGAATTTACATTGTGAATCCTTGAGTTTGAAGAACTTGATGGATTTGAGTCATTTCTGATCTCATCTCCGAATGAAGTGTCTTTTGTATTTAAAACCATTGAAGTTTCTGTAGCAAGCACTAGTAAATAGCCACCAACATCTGCATCATCACAGATAGCAGCCTTTTTTCCTTATCATACTACACCTCCACATGAAACCTAGTTATCAATACCAGAAGGTACAGCATTTCCATAGTCTAATAACTATATCTGCAGTGTCTCAATCTGGATCAGCAAAGAACACTTATATTGGCCAAAACCTATTGTATCAAAGAGAAGCCATGAAGACCCCAAGTGCCATTTCTTCAGAAGCCTAAAGGAAATTTTATCGTGAGAAAAAATATTAAAAAGAGTGGGTTGCAGCACAGAAAAAGAAAAAAGAAGGAAAGAAAATTAAATAATCAGATTGTTGTAATGAAAAGTTATGTAATCTATAATGTGTATTTTATTCACAGAAAAACTCATTTCCATTAGATTTTAAAAATATTAAAATAAATTTATATTGTAATAATAATACAAATACTTTCTAAATCAAATGTATTTAATATGTTAAGCAATAGTACATGATTGGATATAGGTATAGATTGTAAGTAACATTATATGTATATTTAGAAATAAAATTACAAAGTAATCTATAAAATAGTCTGCAATGAAAAATGATAGTTCTGTAAACTGTTTGTAGTGTAGTGTGGTAATGAATGAATACAATTTTTTATTACATTATATTTGTTTATATAAAGAGTAGGTTATTCTTTAGATATTAATTGGTAAACAATTAATATCTAAAGATCTATTCCATTAAATAATTAATAAAAACAGCGTGGTATAAGATGTTACCATCTACTCAGCCATTAAACAAATTGCTGCTTATAAAAAAGCTAGGTTCTTTTCAATTTCTTGTTTAATTGTTTGGCAAGTCTTGAATTATGCAAGGTTATTTACTGAAAAATGACAAAAATTTCAAGTTACATACAAATTTTTCCAAATTATTTAAATTATTTGACCAAAATAATATGATTAATTGTCTTCTTTATAACTGGTGTGTGCTGTGTGCAAGCAATGAATTATAAATGAGAAATTAGTACAACAAAACCATCTACAGTAATTAATTGGTGAATTTATTGTGAGTTTATAAAAGAAATGAGTAGAAAGTTCTTGAATTTTTGAAAAGCATGCAAAAAAAAAATTGTTGTGAGGCAGTGCTCTTGAATTTAAACATTTACTAGCTAGCCTGAACAAATAAATTAATGCATATATTGTTATTTGTGAATGTTGGATGTGAATTAAAAATTATACAAGGACAAATTAAATACAGATATCCCTTGCTTAACGTGGGATTCAATTAATGCATGAAATTAATTCCAGTGATCCCTTTGTATATCAGCAGAAGTTTTAATTAATATGGCTTTACCAGCTGTCTTCACTTAACATAGATACCATATTTGATTAATTATCAATTTATTACAGATATACTTTGACTTCTAGAAAGGACCTCCATTCTGACAACCTGGTTGTAGATCTGACAATATTGTGAGAACTGAGGGGGTAGAGCTGTGAGCTTGACCCTTCTTACTGGCTTCTCATCAGAGGATGGCTAGGAGGGCTTTTAAATCTAGTGGGAAGTACACATGTGTAAGCTGATAGGTATAGATCGTTTCCGATAAACAGACAGATTTTAAAATAAACACAATCACAATTCAATATTTCTCTAGACTAAGATACATTAAAGTTACAAGTACAGTAGAGCGTCGTTTATCCGAAAGAATTCCAGTTGGCAAATTTAAATTTTTGCTAGTGCTGTGGCACTGCAATCTTTGGCTATATCTTGGGCTACTCCAATATTTTTTTTGTTGATGTGTGTTTTAGCTAGCAGCACTGGCACTTTTGTGTGGTGTTTTTCTGAGGACTGTGTGTTGTGCTGAATCGAACGTTTTTGATACTAGATTAACTTCTAAAGTATAAATTTTTTTTGTTTTTATATTTTTCAACATATTTATTTTGTTTGTAAAAAATAAAGAAATAATTTTTANTTTGAGTTTTCTAGACCCAGAAGATTTTGCTATGATTTTCCTTTGAACAAGTTATTCGGAATTACTTCAGGTGTTTGGGGGAGGAGAAGTCAATCCCTGAAAATCTGAAACTCTGATTCCTGTATATATAGTCAGTCAGTGACTTTTTTACTTGGTGGGAAGTTGCTGCTGTGACTCCAGATCAAAATGCAGTTCCAGGTTTGACTGTCTGTAAAATGTATAGTTTGTTGTAAATGAATGCTTTGCATAGAAATTATTAGTTTAGAATCTGTAATTTTATTTCTTTATGTTTTGTTTAATTTGTATCTTTTCAATACACTTTATAATAAGAGATTATATGGATTTGATTTCCATTCAGAATTTATTATTTTGATTGAAATTATTTTATATTAATAATAATAATAATAATAATTTTGTAATTTTCAGAATTTGAGTAGTAAAATATTTTGATTCATGCCAGGTCACACAATAAATTTAGTATTGTAGTTTCTGAAATCTGTTTGATTAACGTTTAGTGAAGAGTTTAGTCACTTTCTATTAAATTACTTTAATTTTAATGAATACAGGCACATATTGCTTAATGATGGATATGTTCTGAGAAAGATGTCATTAAGCAAGTATCTTAGAAAGTACTGTACATATTTAGATAAACCTGTATGGTACAGTTTACTACTCATACAACACAATGCTAAATAATTAACTTACCTAAAATAGAAAAGATAAAAGTGGCTATGAATATTTCAACTCCATTATAATCGTATGGGGTCTCCATCATATATGCAGTCCCTCATTAAGCTATGTATATACTGTTATACAAACCACTATGAAAGAACAAAACAAAGATTAATCAAAGCAAAATATTACTCACATTATAGTATATGAGATAAATTGTCATAACATGATTGGTTGAAATGCTCTGAACACTATGTGTGTAAAATGATTGGTCAAACGAATTGACGTTTTTCAAAAGTTGAGACATTTTCAACTTCTAACAAACTTCCCTTTTAGCAACTTTTAACAGTAGCTGAAAGGAGAGTTTGTATGTTAATGTGGACCTAGCTTTAAGTGGTGCATACCTACATAAAAGTATTAAATACACTACTATATTAATATATCTTTTATTTAAAGGCATCAGTCAAGAGGTATAGCACCAGCTTAAAACCATCAAAGAAATTAGAAAAAGGAAACGTCAAGTCTAGTGCAATAAAAGCTTTTCTTGCTCGTAAAGAAGTAGAAGAAAAAGTAAAAGGTAATCTCTTTACATAATTAAAATTGATATACAATTACAAATTATAAAAATTATGATTAATTATTGAACAGAAAAAGAAGCTTATTATAAGAAAGAAGAGTTACTTTCTATTCGATCACAAAATTCTAAAAACAGTAAAAAAGCAAAATTAATGGCATCAAGGACTAAAGATAATGATTTTAGTAAAATTAGATTAACAACTGAAGAAGAGGATGCTAAAAAGAAAATAGATCATGAAATTCAAAAGAGAATGATTTCTGATAAGATAGAAAGGATGAAAGCTAGAATTGAATTAGAAGAAAAAGAAAAATTATTACCTCGTAAACGGAAAAGAAAGTCTAAAGCAAATGAAAATAACAATGATTCAGTTCAGGTAAACGAGCAAATTGAAGATTTTTCGGACTATGAAAGGTTGAAAGTAGAAGAGAAGAAAATGCAACGTTCATCGGGTCAACCGATGAATTTTCATGATTTATTAAAACTTGCCTCCCAAAAACAGCACGAGCCTATAGAACTGCCTAAAGTTGTTAAAAAAGAAGAAAGACCAATGACAGAAAAAGAAAAAAGAAGGTATGAAGAGGAACAATTGAGGAAAAGAGGTATTAGTGTTTATACGTTACCTGATATCAATCGACAAAAATCAAAACAGAAAAAACTGACTTCTTCTAATGGTGATACAAGTAAAACTAGTGTTTTTAGTGAATCAGTTAAAAACAAAGAAGTGAAAATTTCTCAACCAAAGAGCAATATTCTTAATAATAAGACAGTTCATACAGTTAAGAAAACAGGTGGTTCATATCAAGATGTACAATTGGAAAATAGGAAAGTTCCAAGTAAGTATATTTGTAACTTTAAACTTTTGTTTTCTTATATTTTTAGGTATAGATTGGAAATTTTTTTACATATAATATTAAATTTCGTATAAATGAAAATTATTACCAAAACTTTCATTTAGTTTGGTATTTGATTTATGAGAGATATTCAGTTATAAATCTTATATCATTCATTAAATTGGAAAATGTATCATAATGTACTAATTATACTGTTAACTACTATTATTGGCATATGATTTTGTTCTTATATGACTATTTTCTACTCGTGAGTAAACTGTCAGAAAATATTTGCAGAACTTTTTAAAATAATTTTTTTCTGACAAGGATCCATGAACTGTTGTACAGTACACATAATTAAAGATAATGTGATTTATCAAAAAAAAAAAAAATTGTACACAACAGCAAAGAATGGGGTCAAAAGTGGCTCAAAACTTTACTTCCCTGAGCATAAATAATTATATAAATCAAATCAAGTAGTGACTAGGCTATAAGAACACCTCTGTATCCCACTAATAACACAATAGAGTTCACATAGACAATGCTTCAATTCCCTGTACGCATTTATGTGTCCAAAACTTAATGATAAGTTGTACATTTGTACATGAATAGAGAGAACTGTAGATGAATGCAGACAAATATGGCAAGAACTGTATTATTTAATGTCTAACATACTGTAATACACAATAATATAGGATTTTACAAAGCAATATAATCTTTGGTGAAAAAGATATATTCAGCAATTGGATATAGGTGGCAAATGAATGGAAAGTACTTACCAATACTCAGGCAGAGACACCTGTCATTATGGAACATATCTCTCTCTCAAACTGCAATACAGCATTCAATTGTGATGAATCTGCCATGATACCCATGTCAGGCAGACTCATGAGATGATTTTTCCTAGCTATCACCACTGTCATATGTTTTTCCATAAGTTTTGGACATGTGTATGGCACAGTGATGATACTACAATGTGCAACTATATGTCTAGTTATCCGATTTAGATCCATCAGTGTATATAGGAATTAAATTCCTGTCACGATATTGAATTTCTGCGAAGTGCTGTCTATAGACGTAATCTGGTGTGGGTTCTTTGGGGAACTACTTTAAGCTTAATTCAACATTTATCGCTGGGGTTGACCAAGGTGAAATACTATTAACCTCAACCTGTGAGATGTTGCTTGTGTCCAGGTCAGTTGTGCTGCTTACATTCTCCATTATTATGTCAAAGGTAGGGACACTACTCGTCTGAGCTGCAAATAATGTTTTCAGCTGGATATCTGAACAATCAGCTTAGAGTTTATTCTGAGATTTCTGTGTAATGTAATAAGAAAGAGACAACTGTTCTCTCCTAAGAGATAGTGGAGGCTCATAAAAATCAACGTACAAACTTTGAACAGAAGTTGTTCAAAGTTTGTATGTTGATTTTTATGTGTTGGTGTGTTACTAGTTTGAAAAAACACCAGTGCACAAATGCAGTGCTTGATGGTGGATTGGATTCAGCATCCAAAGAGTAGATTCTCACACAGAGCCATAAACAATGTATCTGTAGTCCAGTTTAGAGCAGACAAGAACCCTATAAATCCTGAGCATAGAACATTTGTCTGCTCCTCAGAATGAGCAGCACAGTACCTTTAAAAGATTCCAAGATTTTAAACATCTACTCTTCAAGTTGTGCAAGTACAGTAAAAACGTCAGTTTATGGTCAAATAAAACACCCAAAAACTTTACCTCATTGACCACTGGGATTTTAACCTATTCAAAGTTAAAATTTTTATTTGTTGCCTGTGACCCCATGTTGAATTTTCGTCTATGTTAAGCCTAAAAAAAATTTTTTTTTTAAATAATAATCGTGTTTACTGTATCATTAAAAATTATTTTTTTATCTTGCACAAACAAAATAAATTTATTGAATAATATAGAAACAAAAAAATTATATTTTAAAAGTTCATTTTAATATAAAAATTGTGACGCATAGCGACATCTAGTATCAAAAACGTTCCAATGTAAACACGAAAATATTCGGGATCGCCCACACAGGTCAATGCAGTCAACACAAATATTTTCAGGAACAACGTAGGACAGGTTAACCCGATTTAGATGAATTTCAGTGTCCAGGTGCAAACCATGCCTTCGGCAAAAGTGGATGCACAAGGTCTTCTCTGCATTAAAAGTAAAACCATTGGTCTTGGACTAATTATGTATGCAATTTAGGGAGGTTTGCAGTTGTCTCTCAATGAAACTCGTGTTACTAGACTGGCAGGAGATCTGAAAGTCATCAACATACACTGTGTGGGAGGAAGACAGTTAGCTATGCTGTTAATTTTAATTAGGAACAGAGTAACACTCAAAATACAACCTTGAGGAACACCTTCTTCTTGTGTGAAAGGCCTAGATAAAGTGTTGCCCATCCTGACTTGGAATCTTCGATTCTGTAGGAAGTTTTTTATAAAAATTGGCAAATTACCCTGCAAACCGAATTCATGCAAATCACAAAGTAACCCATATCGCCAGTAGTGATCGTAGGCCTTCTCTATGTCAAAAAACACAGACACTAAGTGCTGTCATCTAACAAACACTTCACTATGGATGTTTCAAGGTTAACTAAATTGTCCGTGGTACTTCTGTTCCTACGAAATCCACTCTGATGTGGTGAAAAGTAGTTCTTTTCCTCTAGGAGGAACATCAGGAGTCTGTTTACCATTCTCTCGAAGAGTTTACACAGGCAACTTGTCAGAGAGATAGGTCTGTAATTAGAGGGATTCTTGCAGTCTTTACCTGACTTGAGGATGGGAATAATGATAGATAGCTTCCAAGAGTCGGGAAAAGTATGTTTTGTCCATATTCTGTTAAACAGATTCAGAAGATTACAAAGGGAATTGTTTGACAAATTTTTAATCATGCTGTAGTGGATTTTATCTGGGCCTACAGCAGTGTGACAATGCCGAAGGGCCTCCCTATACTTCGGCACCACGTGACCGAAGGGTCGACATCGCGTCGGCGAAGATCGCAATGACAAGGTTTGTCGGGACTGACACCACTGTCTTCACGGCTAGACACAGAAACCGTTTCGTTCGGGCATGTGAGCGGTCGCGTGTGTGAGCAAATGGAGCGATCAGAGTCGGGATGGAAGGAGACAGTGCACCGGAAGTGACTTACTCAGAGACGCTTTAACGTAACAACTGTTTAATGATTAACGATAGGCTATACATTAGAGCTACTGTTAGATACATTTCTACGGTTTGTCATTATATGATATTACGGTTTTTCCCGAGATGAGAGAGAGAGAGTTTACAGAAGTTTCGCGTGGCGATAAATACCTTGAGCTTTAGTAAGTTCCTAGTAAGTCTTGACATGAAGTTAGTCCAGTTAGGCAGTTGGGTCAATGTTACTCCAGTGAATATGCACTTAAATAAGTCCGATGGTCCAGTGAAAAGCACAACGCACACGGAAAAAGATACGGAACAGGAGACTGATCTCTTCGAGGATGGGGCGACGACTGACTCACTTTGTTGTCTGTTTTTTGTGTTGGATTGTTGAAACGGAGTTATTAGGTTAAAAGGTGCTGAGAAAGCGTCGTTATTAAGCCTGAGAACTTACCAGATGTTTAGCTCCCAGGTGTAAAAGTTGACAGTTATTAAACGAAAGTATGTGAAATGATAAAGTGATATAAACACACGGAAAGTCCGAATTCGGATCTTCACAGCAGTATTCCCTGAGCAAAAGATCACTGTATGTAATTCAATTCTGGTGAATGGCACATTATATTCCTCATTAGATGAGTGGAAGTTTAAATATTGTTTTTCACTTTGGGCTTTATAAACTTGAAAATTCCTTGGATATATAATATTGCTGGATGAAGAGGAAAATGTTTCGCCCAACGTATCAGCAATACCCTGTATATCACTGATTATTGTGCCATTATTTTCCATGGACAGAGAGTGAAAAGCATATTTCCCATTAATTTTATGGATTTTATTCCAGACTACTTTTGAGCTGGTGGAAGATGTTATGCTAGAGACATACTTACTCCAAGAATCCCTTTGGCTTTGCCTTCTTATTTTTCTGGCATTTGCCTTTGCTTTTTGAAAAGCAACCAAATTGTTAGCAGTGGGGTATCTTCTGAAAATCCCCCATGCTTTCTTTTGTTTTTTAAATGGTGCCTTGCAATTCAGATCCACCATGGTTTCGGATGCTTTGGATATCTGGCTGATGTTTTTCCCATTGTTTTTTCAGCTGCCTGAATAGTACTGGAAGTGACAACTTCAACTGCATCATTGATATCAGCAGTATTGACCATTTCCTCAGTGATGTTAGCCAAACAGGAGAATGCCAGCCAATCTGCTGTTTCAAGTTTCAAGCATGGTGGACGGGCTGTTCCACAGCTTTCTCTGCCTCAATATTTTAAAAATATTGGGAATGGTCACTGGAAAGTGGATTAGATCCAACCTCCCATGTAAACGCTGAATACAGGTTTGGGGTTGCTAATGATAGATCAATGGTAGTGAATGTTCTTGTTGGGGCAAGGAAATATGTCATTTCTCCAGTATTAAACAGATAGTTTGTGATTGCCTATGAATCTTTCGATGGCTCTGCCTCGACGATTGATATCGTGACTGCCCCAGATTGTATTGTGACCATTGAAATCGCCAAGTAAAAGAAATGGAGTTGGCAGCTGTTCAACCAAGGCGTCCAATTCATCCTCATTAACTTTGACATCTGGTGGCAAATGTATAGAACAAACTGTAACAGTTACGCCAATTGAAATTTTGACTGCCACAGCTTGCAAATCAGTGGTTATTTGTACTGGTAAGGATGGAATGTGATTTGAAACCAGTATAGCCACACCTCCACTGGCGTGATTGTGGCTGTCATCATCTTTGTGGTAGAGATGAAATCCTTTTTTAAGAAATAGTTTCTCCAGGTTTTAGATGGTTTCCTGGAGTGCCACATAGAAAGATGGGATAGACGATACCAAGTGTTTAATGTCAGAGTAGTTG